TTGACGCAAACTTAATTATTCAACAATGAAAACCTGAAAAGGGAGTTGGAGGCAAGGAGGCAGGGCTGGGGCTGCAGGGGGTGCCAGACTGGAGGAGTGGGGGCGGATGGAGGGATGAGGACAAAAGGGTGCTGCTGGGGACTGAGAGGAAATGGTGGGTGCAGAGCGGGAGGGATTGTAAAACCGGGGTGGGGTTGGGAGTTGGGGGTGGCGGGGAGAAGCAAGGGACTCAGTGGATAAGAAAAAGGAGATAGAGGAGGCAGAGCTGGACGGCTGGACAGGGTGGGACTGGAGGTCGGAGGGGTCCAACCCGGGGTAGGAAAAGGAGGGATGAGCCCGAGGTGGGGGTTAGAAGGTGGGCGCTCGGTGTAAGGAACAGAGTTAACTGGGTGGGTCAGAAGAGTATTGGTGTTGGAATGACGCGAAAGAGGCTGGGCCAGAAGGCGCAGCCCGAGGTCCCTGCTGGCGACACTGCTGAGAAAGTAGGCGGCAAGGGGCGTGGCTGGGAGGGTGTGTGTGTTCCACACTCCCGGCTCCTCCTGGCCTTCCAAATCTATCGCTCTAGTACCGCCTCTTTCTCGGAAGTGACAGACGATTAGGCCAATCAGAGTAGAGGGCCGGGCACAGAGTAGCCAATAATGAGGCGGGGGTGGAGCTGGGGAGGGGGCTCGTCTGGTAGGGGAGGGGGCTAGGGGCCTGCTAGGGCTCCCGAGCCACGACGCGCGAGCCATGGCGCTGGGGCTGCAGCGCTCAAGGTACTGGGGTTCGGGGGCAGGAATTACGAGAATTGGGGGGCTCTCCTTCCGGGGACCCCTGAGCAGGGTGGGGATGCGTGGGTGCGAGCCAAGGACGCCCTGGGGCCAGCAGTTGGAGGCACGTCCCCGCCGCAACCTCCACTCTAGAAGGTTGAAGGGGTGAGGGGTTTCCCCAAGTCCCCCGCTGCCCCTCCCCTCTAGCCAGGAGCCACTTTAGAGTCGTGATCCCCGATTTCTTGCTGCTTTGGGTTCGTCTCCCCTCCTGATTGGGGGTGAAACGGGGACCCCACGGAATTGAGGGTGTTGCGTTTGAGCAGTTTCTGGGCTTCTGGGGAGGCATTCTCCCTTCACATATTGACCCTTCTGGCCTCTGAACTCCCAGAATTGAGGTCGTTTTTTGCCACCAGACCCCTGAAATCCTAAGGGACGTGGGATAGCCCCAAATTGAGCCTTCCCAGATATAGGAAATCCCTTGGAATAGGGAGTCAGTTCCTGAGTTCAAGAGAAGAGCGATTCCCTTTCATTCGAGTCCCTGACACCGTCTCCCAAACTTGGGTTCCCTAGAAATAGGCAGAGGGAGTCCTCTTTCAGAAGCTACCTAGACCCTCCCCAGGGGACTTTTTGCATCCTTTTGAAATAGAGGGTCACCTTCTTTAATAAAAGGGAAACAGGCTTACCCACTTGCCAAAGTCTAGTGCCTATGTCACTTGTCCACCCCCACCCAGTCGCTGTGACGGTGCGGACAGGGGCACCTAGCCTTATTTTGGGAAGACCCCATGGAGGGTGCTGTGCTTGATTCGGTGCAAGCTGTGATAGGAGCACCCCTGCCACAGTGCCCAGCTGGGTCATCCTGGGCAAAGGGTGGGTTTCTGTGTTCAGCTCCCAGCAGGTGCAGATCTGCTGGGGGCAGTGAGGAACCTGTGCTCTGGGTCCACTGCCAAAGGTACTATCTGGCCATGTTTTCATGGGGACCCCAGAAAATGCCCCAGGCTCTTGGTTTCCCTTGTCCAATCTGAGGCATCCAGGAAGCCTCACCCCTTTCCCTCCTCCCTGGCTTTGCAGGTCTGATTGGATCCGTCACACCCCCATGTTTTTCACTCCC